GTACAGGAGTCTTGCTGACTTTATTTTTCACCCTACCCTGTAATTTCACTTTTTCTTGTAATGAAAATACGCGGCGAACTGTAGTTTTAAAATCGAAGTCGCGAGGTAGTAGACCAGTGATGAGTACTGAAAATTAACGTCGCCCTTAGTTTATTGACTTAATTCTCGCCACACGTCAATTCCCTGGGGGAAACACGACAACACACTACGAAACGCTTTCTGATGGATTAGAAATGCACACATATATTGTTTAGTGTTTACGAACGATCATCTGATGTAATTACTGTCTTCCCTCGACTAAAATCACTCCTTTAAGATGACCGAATTCATCTCTTTCAGGAAATCCAGGGAGCACTGTATCTTGGATATATGCAAAATTAAGTGATGGAGAAACTTATGATCTACACATTCAGGCTTGAGTAGCGCAAATAGGAATAGGAAGCAGATTGAGACTGATGATAAACTATCTATGGAGTTCAACCAATGTTCTCATACTATACGCAACAAACTGGGATACTCATTCAGGTTCACTGCCATGGCTTTACACTACACAAACAGGAATACGAGTTTTCGACAGATACAATCATTCGCATAACAACTGGGCTTTCATAGGAGACTCAACTGAATCTCTCGTTTTTACAGACGGAAGATAGAACTTCAAAGGAAGGTCTTCAAGCAATCATTTATCTACCATGAAACACCAGTGAATTATGAAAGGCAAGATTAATCCGAGTTAGAAGAAATTATAACGACCACCCGTGATTTGTCTTGTGAACAGAATCAGAGAATGGTTTGAAAACATGTTAAGAGTACTACTTACCCGTATCCATTTGTGAGGCGGCAGTGCCTTCGTCCGGTTGAGAATACTGCAACGTATGCTCAACTAATGGTTGGTGCGAAATGGGGGGTGTTGGTAGATGGGAGGTTTCCATTTGAGCTCGGGCACCATATACCTCAGGCTGTTGGGATTCGACAGTCGCGGTGGAAGTTACGGCCGACGGGGCTACCTCCGGTTGGTTGGGCGTTGCAGCTGGAATGGCTTGTTGCTGGTTGGCCAATCGCTCTGCTTCAAGAATACGCCGTTTTAGAGTGTCTTGTCTTCGGCGAGATAATTCCTGGTGAACTTGGTAACGACTAATAAGGACAAGGTCCATCAACTCATGACCGAAGAGTAACCTTGAAAGGGTAACCCAACGACGGTAGCTTGCGGGTAAAGCATAGCCCGCATATGGAGATAACTGTGTGGAAGATAAACCACCCGAGGTTCGAGTAGCGGTAGGTTCATCGGTACGGAATACAGCGCTTGCCAGAGCCGAATTCACGGCTAGGGGCTGATCCACTGCCACACTGCTCAGCACGTTCCACACTAAAGCATCAGCCTCAGGACCAGCACGGGCATCTCGAACAGCTTCACTTACAGCGGCAGACTGAGGGCGTGCAATAAGGCTAGAAGTGACTGCTGATGTGGACGCTGTTGGAACATTTGTTGTGTAAGGTCGGTAGCCTACAGATTCAGTGATGAATGGCGTGTGTGCACGAGCAGGGGGTGCACGATTACGAAGGCTATCGTTACCAACGGTAGGTGGAGGCACACCCGTAGGAATCCTGAGTCGGTAGCCATACTGTGTTGAACTGACGGTGTTGGATACCGGCGGAATGGGCGGTAGGACAGAGGTAACCCTATTTGTGAATGGTGTGGGGGCTGCGTTGGTTACCACAGAACCATTAATTCGGACGTTAGTGTTTGGGCCAGCTCCGACAGCACCAGACTGATTTGCCATTGCAAATGAAGGAACCTATAGAGGCCAAAAAATATTAACGGTATGCAACATAGCAAATTAACACGGTGCACAAAACAAACCAATCGAGATTAACTGCCATTTTTTATTATATACGAGGCAGACATGTGGTTTGGGAAATTCGGACTCTCCTCATGAAGCAGAATAACAGAGCAGTTCTCCACATAAACCGACTAGATCCTGACGTACTTTTTCTCATGATGAATCTGCGACCTAATAAGTACAAAGCAATGCACAAACACACACAATGTAACCCATCCATTGATAGCCTGGTTTAGTCAGCGAAGCCGGATGCCATTAGGGATTTATTAATGATTGAGTATGCATGTTGGTATGCGTGCATGGTATACAAATTGCGACTCACCGCACAAAATGAATTCTATCTGGTAAATTCAATGCCCCAGTATTAATTTAGGGATGCCAGGTACCTTAATGTCATGCTATAATCTTGTCGCCGTCCCGAAGTCGTATTTTGATACCTCCAACAAAACTCTTGTGAATAAGGAGCAGCCCGATGTACGGAATGACAACTGTGAAAAGTCTTACTAGAGGGGAACGACTTCGGAGTGACAAAATTTTTAAAAAAATTTTTTTCGCCTGCGTGGTGGAAACAATAGTCGGAACTGAAGGTAGGGATGGGTCGGAAACTTTTTTCTGGACAACGACTTCAAACACAAGCAACTAAGCTCCATGTCACAGGCATGAAAATTTCGTTACACATATCCAAAAGGACGGTCGCGGAGATCTAACGCAAGTAATAGGAAAGTTCTAGAGGGAGGATAAACAGGCAAGTGAATTATACAAAGTATAGTCAACGGACAGAGAATGCGCGTGGACCGAACAACCACCAATATGCGCATGAAAGTGGGTTGGTTGCATGTCAGAATGGGATTTGAACGAATTTCCGATTGACCTCCTAATTGAATGCTTAATGTGACTTATGCAAGCAGTACTTCAGACCCCAAAACGTGCGACGTCCTTGTAGCACATCGAACGGAATTAGAGAAAGTTACCATATGATCCCTTGATTAAAAGTTTGCGGCCCTCGCTCTTCTTACCCAAAAAAATCACATATACTGTTCCACAACACCCAACAAATAAGTACCCGTGTGACCAAGCTTTTCAGAGTCAGACTTAATCTTGGCCAAATTATCAGCTTAAATCTAAGCCCATTGATTCTTCCATTCACAACTTTTCTGAGAGGACGGATGATCATTCAGGTAGAAAGTGTCGATTATTCACCAGTCGCACAATCGTCTGAATAAGTGAACAACTGACGAAAACAGTTTTACATCGGAATGCTTCAACTGTGTTGAAGGAGGATTAGAGTGGTTTACATGCTCCAGTCGACTGTCCTAATGCAAATTACTATGTTTTATCGTCGAAAAATGTCCGTAAAATCACTCGGGTTTGTGCCCGTTGGACGCTTATACCAAAACGCTGTGCGGATGGGTCACCAATAAGTTAGACTGATCTACCCTTGAAAGATGTATGCATTTTGACAGTGCCAAAGTGAACCAATTCATCCAAGGACCGTGCGATAGTAGTTATCAAGTTCGACCAAACTGCTTACCCTAACTCATTACGCGCAGGTAAAAACAGCAATCAAGTGTCACAAGGAGGAAGCTCGCAATGTGGGTTGAAATTGTCCATTGAGAATATGAAGATATACGTTGGTGTTCAAAAGATCGGCATTTAGAAGTACACTGGATTGAAACATCGTCTGACTAAGGTTCGCTGAACGAATTAACGGAATATTGTCTCAAATAACCAGAAAACACATATCAAATTTGAATGATGTTAATTTCTGACAAATAATACATATTAAATTAAAAGCAGTCAAGCTTACCTGTAGAATTGGATGCTGACTAGGCAGCGTCAGAGGGACTATTGATTGCTGGGCTGCGGGAGTAGCAGATGCGTTAGCAGGGGAAGTTATGCTGACACCAGAAGAGTTCAAACGACTCTGGTTGCTGCCAGTTACGAAAACGGAGGTATTTCCGCCGTTCCCAATACCGAAGCGGAAAATGGTGGTGTTCGGAGGTAAGCCGGTCCCAGCAGAAGCATTGCGCACATGATTGTCAGCATTCATCGCGCCTCCAAACCGGGGTAGGAAGAGACCCCAATTACCTCCGGAGTTCCTCGATGGTATTATATTTAAGCCACCGAACTCGGATGGCGTGAAAATGAATCGGTCCCTACGGCCTCCAGCACCACGAGAAACAACAGTAGAGGTTGTCTGATGTGGTAAGTCAACTAAATTCAGTACTTCTTCTACAACCGCTACGACCGAGTCATTCTCGCGCAACATACGACTATCTGTGCTCAGAAAGACAGGGCCTTCCGAATCGGGACCCGGCATTTCGATGTCGTCTCCATCCTCGTCATCGCGACCAAAGGTATCCACATCATCATCATCAAAACTTCCATCATCCTCTTCATGCGTGTCCCCATGAATATTTAGTTCATCTGCACCTCGTTGGAAGTTGGCACGCACTGCTTCGCCAGCACTTGCTGTCGGTTCCGGTTCACCTCCAGCACGACTAGTGGTCACTGAAAGTGATATCGTTTCCGTTCTGGGGCGACGAGAGCCACGTAAATGGCGACCGGAAGAACCGCTTCTCAGGACTAATGCAACTTCACCATCATCGGCTATGACGTCTTCATCGGTTTCACCAGCACCGTCGTCGTCATCATCCTCGTCATCATCTTCGTCACCATCCTCTTCGTCTTCATCATTATCTTCGTCCTCCACTTCCTCATCGTCATCTCCACCATCGTCAACATCCAAGCCATCTTCGTCCTGACTATTATCATCTTCACCTCCTTGTCCAGCACTCCCCTCGTCTTCATCATCGCGAACAAAAATTACGGATCCATCTTGTTCGCCAGTATGCCATGGTTGCGGCACATCTCTTTCGGCTACCCTTGGCTGATTTATCACTAACCCAGAATCAGTCATCAGGACGTTATCTAAGACAATGTTTAGAGCACTGGAAGTGGATGTCTGGCCACTAGCGACCGCGCTTTCTACGCGATAAGTCGAGCGATGGACCAAGTTGTCGTTGTGATCATCTTCGTCCTCATCGTCTTCGGAATTCGAATCGAATTGGTGCACGCCACTCGAGCGTTCAACACCCTCAGGGGCATGACGAGTAGAATTCACGTGAGAGGATATGTGAGCTTCGCGAACTCCACCAGCAGCAAGTCGTGAATGACCTTCAGTGCTTGCTGTCAAAGTGGTTGGATGTTCAGGACGTTGTGACGCATCAACCACTTGGCCCTCTTGTGCTTCTTGAACTGCACTGCCCGGTAAAGCCTGATCTGCTTGGCGTTCGTGGGAGGAGTTGAGAAGTTTGTTAATTTGACGATCAACCCAAGTTAGGCTCTCCAAAGTGCGTAAAGTTGTACTGAGGGTCGACTGGGTGTTGGGTAGGTTGCAATCAATCAATGCGATCAGTTTGGCAATGTCAGCAGGCAAATGTCGCCGATAAATTAGGCCAATGAGGCGGTCAACTAAAGGAGAGGGTAGAGCGAGGAGTCTCTCTAGAAATGCCATGTGTGCTGTTACACGTTCGTTCTTATGAAATTGTACGGATTCATAGGCAATACCCTGATCTCCAGAAACTGGAACGGAGGATGATATACGACCCAGAGAAGCTTTGTATTCAGCAATGATGATGTCTTGTGTGGACTCACAACCAACCAATACGAGGTTTTCTAACAGGTATGTAGTTAGGTCCGTGGTTTCCGGATTGCTCAACTGGGTGCTGAACAAGTAGGTCAACAGCGATGGGAATTGAGTACCATTGGTTCCACATGGTTTGTGTTTGTATGTTGCCACAAATTCAGCAACAGGCCGATAGGAGGCAATGAGATCGATGAGGTAACGAATGGCATCGGCTTTTCCGAGGACGGTGACACCTGTGGTAGGACACGACGAGCCCGTGGTGGCGTTTGGCGGTAAACTTGCAGATGGTTGCACAGTAGCTGTCGACTGACTTTCGTTCTGAGACGGCAGACCTGCTAAATTTAAATTACTGGACCAAGTGGCATCAGACACTGTTGAATTGGAAGTAAGCAGAGTAGACGCTGATGTTTGTATCCCATCACTTGTGGATGATTGCGTCCGCTTGAAATGGAGAGTGAATAAGTGAGTAAGTAAATCTGAAAAGGTGATGAGTAAGCTCTGCTTTTAACTATGGCAGTAAAAGAGTTCAAGATAGGAAAACACAAGATGTAATGGATCAACCACAAACCCTAACGGCAAACGCGATACTTTAAGAAAAAAGGGATGTGGACACGAAAGGACTCATTAATATTAGAAAAGAACTGCAAGCATACATGAACAAGGTAGCCGCTATTGCCTACTGATTTTGTGTAAGACAGTACTGCTCAAAATTTATACATAATCAGATACACTGAGGAACTCCGTTTTTCAATTAAGGCATAACGAGAACTCAGTTGATCCACATGGACGGTTGCTACTAACGCAGCATGTATCAGCTAATAACTTGGAAATCTTTACAAAGGTTGCGTTCTTACGGTGCTTGCACCCTACGCAAGCTGCATGAGGTACGAAACCTGTGCTACCGCAGGGTTGGATAAGATACCGGCGGTCGTAATCGACCCCTAGGTCAGCAACACAGCCATCAGTCTCAGCATCAACTTGAACAACATAGAAACATTCTAAAGGAAGACCTGAGGAGGGTGCACATCAATTACTGTTTGACAGTACAGTCATATTACTCGTACTATTCATGAGATGTGGTCTTTATACTGCGGAATCATCCATTTGTTCAAACATCAGTCTCTAACTCATTCCTTGAGTGGTATCGTATACATAGGGTAGAATGCCATATTTTTGTGAACTGGAAAAAGTTTACTAAAGGATACCACTATTATGACCTTCTTATTCGGGCCTGAAGGTGAACAATCTTGATGGTCTGGATAATGAGAAGTGTTAAGCCTGTATTATTGCCAAAGGTGACTTTCTGCTAGCGCCACTGTATAAATTATTAACGTCATTACTGTGTCCTGTGAGAGGTGCGGTCCAGCGGACTACTTCAGCTGTTACGTTTTTTTCCATACAAGTTGATATCAGTTGCGTCAAAAATGGCTAAATATGAACATAACCTCAAGTTGGAATCCAACGAACACCGCCGTGTCAGTGTTACATTTTGAGAAACTTGAGAAGAGGGAGAGTAAAAAATGCAGACTCAGAAACGTTTCCGTAATATCACAAGGCTAACATCGATCAGTTAATGACGATAGCTGCAGTGTTTTGGCCGTGTGCTTCGAAAAGACAGCAGGTTTTTAAAAACAGGCGATATACGCCCCATTGACAACTCAGTTGATGTCGTCGACTTGACAGTCAAACCGAAGCAGGGCTTGACACGGCAAAAGCAGGCGCTGATATGATTGGCCTTCAACGGGGCCCATTGGCCGCACAATGTTCTTAGCTGCAAAACCTTTGCGAGTGCAACAAAACCTTTTTGCCTCAAAATCTTGCATTTTGTTGCGTATGTGCTGAAACAGAAAAGAATCCTAGTCTACGTTCATATTTTTGCAGCTCACCAGATTTCATTGTCCACTGAAGCAATCATACTTCTGGAGGAAAACGTCTGGTAGAGTACTTTCGTAGCATCGCTGAGACCCCGGGATGTCTAGATGGGGCTCAAAGGTTTGGATTCGTACTCTGAAAACAATTGCCTGTCTGCTTTACTCCACCAGGGACACGTCGTAACTTTGAAAAATCCAATTCAATTCAATGCACGAGCTTATGTTTTCTTATAACCTCACTGCTCACCCGTTCGGCTGGCTGGATAAAAGCCAGCTGGTGAAGGTAGTTGTGGACAGTGCCTCTCTGTGAAATTCCCAAACTTATCCACATTTGCAACCAATATCCTCAGCGTCGAAAATGCTCGAGACAGTTGTTCACACACCTGTACTTTCTGAATAGACCCACATTAACCACAAAGTATTGATCTATTTATCTAGTACTATTCGGTGAAGCGAACAGTTCCGTAGGGTGTCTCACGCACTTACGTAACTTGAGGGCTCCGGGCCAGGCAAAGTCAAGAAGCAGTCGGTAACGCAGATGACCTACCGATACGACCAATGAAGTGGTGGTTGGGCGCACTGGCTAGGGGCTTTTGACCTTTGTTCACTCAATCAACCTTGCCGCCCACACAGTGAAAAGATTTTGCATGTTTCATACTTTTCAGCAGTGGTAAATGGTGCTGCCTCAACGGTATGTCGCTACTAACAATCACGAACACCAACCCAAAGTCCGACACTGAATGGCAGTCTCACTGACATGAGGAAAACTGAGTTGCCGCATACGAAGGCCCAGCGCTTTACTCCCCTATTTCTGAGTGGTTGTGGCGGACACCATGAAGCACGTAACCTCTATTATTAAAACAAGGCCTAATATGCTGACATCTGTGCAACCCACAAAAGTTAATCAAGCCGAGGGAAAGCCAGCTAAGCAGCAACATCTCCCACCAACGGTGGACAATTTTAAGGCACGAGATTTTTTTCGCTCAAAACATTAAAAAAACGAACCCTATAACTATAGCGGAAGTAGTTTAAGATCCCAGAAACGGCAGTTATGCCCAAAACAACGACAGTGTCCTCTGCAAATTGCCTCGATAGCTAAAGACGGACCGATGTCCTTAGCACCGTGCTTGTAGCATGGCTGAATATGCAACACATCTGCAATACATAGCCAAGCTACTGAAGCCTGACACTAAGACAAAGCAATATACGGCGACCTATTATAATGTTTGCAATTTTTGAATGAATCATCGTCGTACAGTCGCTTCCACTTCCAGTTGTTCCCTGAATACAAAAGCTCTCAGATCGGCCCAGTTGAGCAGTTCCGACAAAAAGCATGTTAACACATCTTGCTACTAATTAATAATTGTTCGTTAGACATTTCTAAGTTTACTGAACTCCAGACTGTAGGTTATGATTCAGATAACCCATTCACTGTGCTTCTCTTTTTAATAGTAGATACAAAAAGGAGCAGTTATCACATGACTTTCAGGGTTCGGCATTCAATACGGACATTGCCTGGGTAATTGGAAGAAAAATAGCCATTGGAATGCCTGCGTACTGGGTGCGGACAGTAGGCTTGAGCCATTCAAAAGAAAACTATTGCGAAGGTCCACTTCTCATCTACTCGAAGCAAGTGCGAAATCTAACGGTACCTTCCCGTCAAGCAAATACAGTGCTGCACGAAAAGAGCTGCAGGTTAACGAAAACAAGATTAGGTGAAAAGGAAGAAGTTAGGGTTCGGGTACACCGTATGAGGGACAATGACTTGAGTCCACATCTGACTTAGTAGAATTCAAGCTCAGTTCATAGTGTGGATGTATGTCGAAAGGTAACCACAGTTGGGCAATGATTCCTCGTAGGCGCAACCAGAATTTTGTTAGGTCGCAAGTGTGGGTGGACGAGGGTCTTTCGAACTGTGATGGATGGGAACGGGCTTTTCGAATGTGAGCAACACGAAAATAAAACAGACATCAAGTAGCTGTAGTATCCAAAGTGCCAAAAAAATGAATGGCTTTTGCTGTGGGTAGAAAATCAAGTGCAAATGACGGTACAAAACGCTTATTGTAGGTAAGGTCCACCAAGTATCGATCGGTAGCAGGTAAGTATGGCAAGGCAACGAACCTGTGAGGTATCCACAATTGCAGACTGACTGGTTCGATTGTCAGCCGTCTTCGAGGGTTGCATAATCACTTCAATCAGCTGGGTGATAATAGCTTGCTGGCGGTCGGATAGAGGGAAAGTGTCTTGATCTTTGTCATCCGACTCTAGAGGTGCCTCCACAATGTAGTCCTTTGGGACAGTTTTTGCTGAAGAACAAAAGAAACAGACAAACGTGAAAGCAGAATCAGTTGATTCCGGACCGCGTGTGCGGAATAACTTGCAACTAGTGGCAACAAACGATACAAGTTGAACTTAGACTGGGTTTCAGAACACAGAATAACATTTTGGAGAACTTCCCAGTGGAGCTCCGATGTATATATATATATATA